CCACTCCTCTTGATTCCATCCTCCAGCTTGAGAACCTGTCATTGTCCAGCGGCTTGGGACATCCTCTTGATGTGAACGTTGCTAGATAAATGTAATTTGTTGTTGTTGCTGTTCATACAACCAGTCTTAAACAGAGCTGGGCCATTGAAATGATTTGTGGAAGAAATGGGCAGGATCAATCAATTACAGTGTCTGCTTCAGTGATATTTAGAACATTGATGCGGAACTAGAAGGATGAGGTTGAATGGGCTGAAAGCCTCTTCACACAGACCCAGTCTTGTGATTTTGTGAGTTATTAATGGCTGAATTGTGGTTGGGAAAAGGTTTGGCCACATTGAGTAGTTGAGCGGTTATGCTGTGCGACCCCCCTGCTTTGTGTCCACTGTATTGTGTGTCCTCTCTGCTGTGTGCTCGCTCCTTTAATACGGCCTCTGCCAAGTAGCTTCTGAGTTAAACAAACAGTCTGCAGTTTATCCAAGATCAAGCCCTTTCCTGGCACTTACTGCCTGTCCTACATAGAGTGAGTGTCATCAGCAGTCTAAAACAGTCAGTAGCAAAGAATTATTAACATCCTTTGATTGGCAATTCTGCAATAAGGAGACATAAATTCACTACTGTGCGCAATTGGCTGCTGCGTTTCGCCCACAAACTATAGTCAATTCACTTTATAATAAATATAATAATAATAATCCTTGCATTTGATATAGCACTTTTCATGTCTTCAAGACGTCTTAAAGCGCTTCACAGAATATACTGTAAAGTGAATTGACTGTATATTTGTTGGCAAAACGCGGCAGCCAATTGCACACAGCAGTGTCCCACAAACAGTCGTGCATTGAGTGACCAAATTATTATTATTTTTTTCTTGAGGCATTATTATCAGGCGTGTGGAGTAAGGAAACTTGCCCAAGGTTTCGCCCTATCGGGAATCGAACCCAGGTCTCTCACTTGCGGGGCTGGTGCTCTAACCACTGAGCTACAGGACTCCTAATATACTTTGCAGTATATTCTGTGAAGCGCTTTGAGACATCTCAAAGATGTGATAAGGCGCTATATCAAATGCAACAATTATTATTATTATTATTACTACTTTAGGATTAACACTGGATCAGGTTAGACAAAATGCTGTTATGCAGATAGTTATTGGAACACTTTGCTATGATCAGCGGCTGAAGCTAAGAACAAAACGTTAAAAAGGCAATCGGAGAAGTATTTATAGAGGAACAATATGAAAAGGGCCAAGGAAAGAGCAGTAATTTGAGATTATTGTAGGTAGGTTCTGTGGGGGACGAATGGTCTCCTGCTACGTTACTGGCTTTCTACCATTCTATCTTTTGGCTGTTCACTTTTATTGGTTCAGTGATGAGCGCTAATGTGCTGATGGGGACTTGAAGCAAGTAACAGAAAGTGAAACGAAAGAAAAAGCCTTAAACTTATCACGGAATCCTTATGATAATCATTATCCTTGTACTTGATAGAGTTGCCTCACCACGTAGGAAGGCCATCTCAAAGTGATTCACACGATTTACTCTGAAATGGAGTGACTGTATTTGTAGGCAAATGCAGGCAGCAAAATTGCGCACAGCAATGTCCCGCAAACAGTCATGAAACTAACAACCAATTATATTTGGGAGATTGTTGGCCAGGTCTCTGGGAGAAAATCTTTTCGCTTTTCGAATAGTACCATGGGATCTTCAACATCTACCTGAATAGACAGACAGGATCTTGGTTTAACAATCTCATCTGAAAGACGGATTCCTTGGAAGTACAATACAAGTATAAATGAGGGAGAATTTCCACCTAAATCCAGATTAACTCGACATAGCATTTCAGAGTGTCCAGAATTTGGCAAATTGTTGAATTCAGTCTTAACTTTGAAGTCATTTATCTGTGCTTCTTAAAAGGACTTAAATAAACTGGCTTCAAAATTCAGTTCCTTTTTTAAAAATTACCAAATTCTCGACTCTGAAATGCTGCATAAATAGAATAAATCTAGACCTGGGTGGTATTTGATGTTGAGACTCCTTCTTTAAACAACAGACTTCTTACTGATCGGTTTTAAACATAATGGAAATCAGCACAGTCTGCGAGTGAGAAAATGCAATTCATTCTATGGCCAATATTCATGCATGGTACATATCTTGAAAACAATTCTGGATAAAGCTTATGTCAGTCAGTAGCATAAACTCTCATCATTCTCATTTACACATGCAGCATCTGGTACCTGGGCTTTGGAGATAGTAAAACAGTAATTAGCTGCAGCCCACACTTAAAGGGGAATCCCAGAAAGATTCCATTGCTTTTATCACAGCATTTCCACCATTAATCTTTGACTTTTGTCTGGAAAAAGCACTGCAGCCATTAATGGCTGTCAGCACTCAGCCACACCAGACAAAGCTGTTGGGGTTAACCCTTTAGGTGTATGCCAGAGAATTTTATTAGCATCTGATTCATGTTGAGGCAACCCCTGACTCTTAAACACTCAAGATGTTTGAAGTTTACAAAAGAGAGAATTCAGCCTCTGTAATATTTGTACTGATAAAGATGGAAGATCTGCTCGAGGCACTAAAGAACCACCCTAAAGTTTTGAGGATTCGGGTACGATCTGGAATTAATTAATCTCATATAGCTTCTCTTTTATACAAATAACAAGAACAAAACTTCCATTTGATATAGCACCTTTCACGGGTTGAGACGTCTCGAAGTGCTTCACAAGATATACTGTAAAGTGTATTTTGTAGGCGAAAAGAGGCAGTCAATTGAGCCCAGCGGTATCCCACAAAGAGTCATTGATTGAGTGAGCAAATATTTTGGGGGGGAGATTTTTACCGATCCACTAATCGACTTAACAACTGGGTTTCTATTTACTGCTAGAAGCATGTGGAGTAAGGAAACTTGCCTAAGGTTTCGCCCCACTCCCGGGAATCGAAACAGTAAGTAGGAACCCACTTGTTAGTTGATTGACAGATCGCTTTCCGGGGATAATAATTTCCCCCAAAATAACTAAAAATGATAATAATTTGGTCACTCAATCCACGACTGTTTGTGGGACACTGCTGTGCCCAATTGGCTGCCACATTTCACCCACAAAACACACAGTCACTGTACTTTACAGTATATTCTGTGAAGCGCTTTGAGACAACTTGAAGTTGTGATAAGGCGCTATATCAAATGCAAGGTTTATTTATTTAGTCGAATTTGGATCCTCTCGCTTGCAAGACGAATGTTCTAACCACTATGTTACGGGACTTCACAATATAATAATAATAATAATAATCCTTGCATTTGATATAGCGCTTTTCACGTCGGGAGGACGTCCCAAAGCGCTTCACAGAACACACTGTAAAGTGAATTGACTGTATATTTGTGGGCGAACGCGGCAGCCAATTGCGCACAGCAATGTCCCACAAACAGTCGTAGATTGAAAATGACCAATTTAATTATTGTTTTTTTTTTGGAGGGATTATTATTAGGCGTGTGGAGTAAGGAAACTTGCCCAAGGTTTCGCCCTGCCTGGAATTGAACTCAGGTCTCTCACTTGCAAAGCGAGTGCTCTAACCACTGAGCTACAGGACTCCACGACTCCAGAAATATGGTTTCTGATGAAATTCTTTACATTTCACAAATATTGCAGTAGGCAGAGAATCTGATTAGTGAAGGCTTAAGGCAACTGACTTGAAAGATAACAGGTCAAATCAAAGGCAGTGGTGCATTTTCTGGGTTCAGAAGACATCCCATCCCACACAGGCACAGAGTCTGAACACTATTTGAAACGTAGGATTGGATTAGTGACTCAAATTCACTTAAAGGAAACGTTGCCCTTTCTAAAGTAGACCTGATAATAAATATTAATTAAAAATCTGTTTGCTTATCACAGCATCGCAGAGCATCGGTTGTGCTGACCGCTTTTTTGATGTTGCAGTTTTCTGAGTATGTGAAGATGAAGGTTCCACATTATTTAAGATTAAGGAGAAGTTCCTGGTTTTATGAAACCAGATCTGCATCTCATGAAGGGACGAGCAGTATCACAAGGTTTTCCTTTTAATACTAGATCAGAAGCACATTTGCTTTTCCTTATAAAGCCAGGCCAGGTGGTTGGGGTGGAATCGTGAGCAAATTATTGTGAGAAACGCAATCCGCAGCACGAACACTGTCTAACAGTGCATTAACTTAATTGTGTGCCAGATTTTAACCATTGAACAGCAGTGATGATCCAATGTAACTTCTTGTCATGAAGTAACGGGTTCCGGAAAGGGCACACACAATGGAGAACAATGGAGAAGTGCATCAAATTAAGCTCTAAATATCAATTGAGTGGCACGATGGGGTGCTTCATGCCTCAGAATGGGAGTTTTATGTCTCTTCTGCAGGAGATTATCCACAACTCTTCACAGAGACTTCTACGCCTGTCTCTGTATGGTATCAGACTTATTTTGCTACTGGCAAGATTTTACTGTTATCATTAGAACAGAACTCACATCCATTCCCAAATGAATGCAGATCAAGGCATCGATGCAATGAGATTTGGAAGGGAGGCCACAAATATGAGCCACCTTGGAGAATAAAGAGACAGATTGCCAATATCAACCCACTTGAAGGGCACACCGAGTATTTTGCAATCCGCCAAATTAAAAGTGAAACACATGAAGGAATGAATGGTGTGATGATGTGCCTAAGAGTACATTCAGACACTGAGGCTATGCACTGCTCATTGAGTCAATTAATCACTTCTGATGTGCAGACTTTTTCTTATTTTAAAGATGATTTTTGCAAATCCCGAGCTTCCAGAAAACCCAAACAGCCAGGAGGACACATCAGTCAGTCCCAGATTTTCAATGTCTTTTACTCCTCAATATACCTCCTCTATAGCCCCTCACTCCCTGGCATCATCTTACATAGAAAACCAGGACAACACCTTGTTCCCTAAACGTCAGAGGTGTTTGCCCAGGACAGGGGATAAGGTAACATTAACAAATGTATATTCCTGTTATTTCTTTCAGGTTGGCTTCACGAGTTGGCAAAGAGGTTAGGAACTCCGTACGTATCCCTCCCTGCTCTGAGTATTTCCACCTCGGTGAACTCAACAGCCCACAGCACCTCCATTAACATCAGCTCCCGAGAGAACAGCACAAGCCTGGAGCTTCTCGGAGGGCCTTCGATCCGGAGCTCCTACATCACGTCGCTCTACTTTGCGCTCAGCAGCCTGACCAGCGTGGGCTTTGGCAATGTATCAGCGAACACGGATGCGGAGAAAATCTTCTCCATTTGCACAATGTTAATAGGAGGTAGGTTCTTTCAGAGCTCTGGTGGCCATGTTAAAGATGATTCTTTCAATTTAATCCAGACAAGTGTAGTCTTGCACTGAAGTGAATGTGAGTTCAAGGCCCAACATTTAGATGGGTTTCCTTACGCCAAACACACACCTCTGTTTACCTGGCAGTAAGTAGGAATACGGTTGTTAGTCGATTGGCTTTTTTCCAGGAGTAACAATCAATTCAAAAAAGTAATAATAATAATTTGGTCACTCAATCCACAACTGTTTGTGGGCCACTGCTGTGCAAAATTGGTAGCCGTGTTTTGCCCACAAAATATACAGTCACTCCACTTTACAGTATACTCTGTGAAGCGCTTTGAGACGTTTTGAAGACATGATAAGGTGCTATACCAAAGGATTATTATTATTATTATTAACATGAGGCTTGTATTTAAAATCTTACGGACTGCTATAGATCCTCACTGAGATGTCTCCTTTAAAGACCGAAGAGCTCAGTTTTCAGATTGTCTAACCATTGCTCATAGCTCATTCCTCTCCCCTGTTCTACCTCTAGGGCAAGGGCAGTGCCTTTATGTCTCAGATATATATGGGGGAAGGGGAGGGGGGAGTGAAGTCTGAGGGTGTTTTGTCCTCACAAAGCTTTTGTGTGCCAGAGTGCCTGTGTTGAGGATTCACATGGAAATACGTGTGGCGCTGGCTGCTATTTCATGTTGGTTCCGACAACATGAATTTGCCAGAATTGATCCCAGTATAAGTGTTGAGGGCAACAAAGTTATACCAAGCCGTCAGAAAACAGTTTGTGGCAGATCAAGAAACTTGCGTAATCCTGTAAATTTGCCCTTAATGAACCCTTAATGCACAATATTTTCACATCTGCTGCTTTCTATGTCGTGAAAAGCACACAGAATATTTAGTTATCTTCTCAATAGAATAACCATAACATTTCAGGGGTTGACATAAAAGCTCATTCGAGGAGACTGAAAAGCTTGCAGTACATACCCAATTACAGCTGCATGTCATTTGTTTACGATGTAATTATTCCATTGCCCATCTCTTTCTGTTGGGTTCATTGGTATGCAATGTCAGTGTATTATTTAATGTGTTCCAGTCCAAATCATCTGGCTCCTTACTGGCCTGAGGCAGTGGGGTCTATTCTGTTCATGTTTTCATCTAATTCAAAGCGATGAAACTATTGAAAATCCCCAAATACCCATCCTTTCAATGTGCAGCAAGTTGCCAAGTCTGTATTTAAAGTGAACGTCATATCAGTTCCTTTGTAGAGAATAATTGTTCGAATATAATGTGGAAAACAAGGTTCCGAGGGCTTAAAACTTAACCACAGTGCAAGCTATTCATCTGGCAAATTGCATTCCTGTTGCACATTGCAAGTTATGATCATAGTGTTGACAGGCTGTAAAATATAAAAAGTGCAACCTTTCTTTGGGGGTTTTGTAAATCGCCAGATGTCATCAGAACCTGCTGACGATAGAGGCTTGATGAAGGAGCCTGCCAAATGTAAGCTTCCTGATCATTTGTACAGTTTACTGCTGATAGGAGGAAATGTGGACCTTTCTACTGAGCTTATCCAAACTTGAGGCACTTGGTAACAAAGGGCAATTTCAGGACAGACACCAGGAAGTATTTCTTTATCCAGAGACTTGTTTGAAAAACAGCTTGATGCAGTGATGGGAGGACAGTAAGGTGGGTGTTCTGGAAGGTTGAGATCAGATGGGCTGAAGGGCCTTCTACATCCCAAATAATGTTGTGATCTTCTGAATCCAAGCTAACCAATGCCCAAAAGAGAATGGAATTTCTGCCTGCAAAAATTGGTCATTCCCTTCATGGCTGTTTATGGGACATTGTTGTGCTCAAATTGGCTGCCGCATTCAACCACAAATCACAGTATGTCTTGTGAAGCGCTTTGGAGCGTCTTGATAAGGCACTGTATCTAATGCAAGGATTTTTTTTTATTATTAATAATAAGTTGTGTTCATCTCTTTCTGTACACAGCTCTGATGCATGCCGTAGTATTTGGGAATGTGACTGCCATAATCCAAAGAATGTACTCCCGACGCTCCTTATACCACACCAGGACAAAAGACTTGAAGGACTTCATCCGTGTTCACCGAATCCCAAAGCAGCTGAAGCAACGAATGCTTGAATGTTTCCAAACTACATGGTCCGTGCACAATGGCATCGATGCAAGTGAGGTATGTAGCACAAACACGATCTTACTGTCGCTGAAGACTAAACCCATTCTTAAAATACAAGAAGGAATTCTTGATTTTGCTGCAGAGTAGCACAGCTTGTCAGGAAAACTCAAACAGCCCTGTTTTGTTTTCCCACTTTTCTGGGGAAACATTATCTTACCTGTGGAATGAAACCAATTTGTCTGATTAGACAGCCATCTGTTCAAAACCGTCTCATGCTTTTACAGCCAACTTAATGAATGTGAATGTGCAGCATAATAAACCAGCCAGCGCCTGCTAATGTGGCCTTATTACCCCTGGTCAAAACATCAGGCGAGAAATGCCTTGCGATGAATCAGAAAACGTCGACAGATGGATCCAATATAATATTAAAATTCAGCCTGGCTCACACGCACCTCTAAGTCAGAAGGTTGTGGGTTTAAGCCCCACATCGGGATTTTGAACTCATATGGTCGAGGCTGACGCTCCTGTGCAGTGCTGAGCATATGCTGCATTGTTGGAGATGCTGTCCTTCGGTTGAGATGAGGCTCCATCTGCCTGGTCAGGTGGACACTAAAAATCCCATGGTACTACTCGAAAAGAGAAGAGAGTTTAACATTAATTCAACACCCTTCTGAACTATGACTCAGTGTCACATCATGCAATGTTTTTGCTCATCAGAGGGTGAGTGTGGTACCCTGCATTTTGAACATGGTCACCATCACACATTGTGCTGGACTGAAGACTGCAATCCACTCTTTTGGTTTGCTTCCTCCGCTCGGTGGGCACTGCCCTGCTCCACATCCCCCGCCCTGCCCATTCCACCATCGGCGGTCAAGCTTTCAGCCTTTCTGTCCCCACCCTCCAGAACTTCATTCTGGAATCCCTTCACCTGCACCCCCACCTTTGCTTCCTTCAAGGCCCATTTTAAGACCTTCCTCTTTGACCGTGGCTTCAGTGATGTTCCTGCCATCACCCTTGCCCTCTTGATTCCAACCCCCGGCTCGGGTGTAATCCCTTGACTGTCCAGCTCCTTGGGACATCCTCCTGACATGAAAGGCACTATATAAATACAATTTGTTGTTGGTGGTGAGGCCTGGACGAGTGTTTAACAGCTGAAAGGAGCAGATGAGCATTAGATTAGTCTTAATCACCGGTTTGAACAAGATTGATTCAGGCAGAGCAGCACCGGATTAAGGCCTTAGTTCCTTTCATAAAATTAAAAGGGATATCCATTCAACTCGGTTTACCATTTTCGAGCAACTGAACATAATCTGGTCTAACCCCTTCTCCATTCACAGTCAACCTTTTCCTCATTCACTGTTTGTTTTAACCCTTCATTCATTGTCAACATGGGAAAAATCATTCCCTCTCCCCTTTGTGCCAAATGTGTTTAGATTCATATAATAATAATTCTTGCATTTGATCTAGCGCCTCATCACGTTGCCAGGACGTCTCAAAGCGCTTCAAGGAAATTGCTGTATGTGCAATGACTGTGCATTTCTAGGTGAACATGGGGTGTCACTGGATATGAATGTGACACCTCAATTTGTTTATCCAAACAAACCCCAGCGTTCAGCCGCATGGAGTTACGTTGTTGTCGAATGCTTTCAACGTTGTGTTACCACCTCTAATATCTTGTGTTTCTGATTTATGGTTTCAATGCCAAAATGTATTAAGAACAGGGAAAAATCCCAGTGAGACGTTGACCTTGCTATAGGTCCAGAGGAAGGAACGAGACACAATATTGTGCAGCGTAATCATTGTATGAGCTCTAGGAATTGTCAGTAGCCCAACTCACAGAGGAAGCTAAAATGCATTGACTCACTATGGGAAAAGCCAGAGCAGCAGCTCACTTGTTCTTCAAAGCGTCCTGAATGTTTCAATTTCTTTAGTAGAAGTAATGGACAGCAATTCCTATATCCAGTTATCCTGTTGTGAATCATCCATTTGATTGTCCTGAGCAATATATGGAGGTGCATATGTTCGTCAGGGTGTTTTAGCGAGTTTGCACTCAGTGATTTTGACTACTATGAGCCAGTTCAGAAGTATGCCTGCCACTTCCAATGAGAGTTACAGTAATTGGACTAGGATTGGGTAGACGGAATTCATTCTACCACAGGGTTAAAGTGACTGGAATTCCACACCAATTAAGATAAGAGCAAGTTAGCAATCTTACCTGTTTGGACTACTATTCCCCCCCCCCACAACCTACCTCTGTTCCTCTGGCTCCGGTCTGCTCCACATCCCCCGCCCCAACCGCCCTACCGTCGGTGGCCGGGCCTTCAGCCTCTCAGCCTCTAGGCTCTGGAACTCTATCTCCCAGTGCCTTCGCCGCCTCCTCCCTTTCCTCCTTCAAGGCCGGTCTCAAGACCTTTCTCTTTGACCGTGCCTTCAGCTCCCCTCTCGACTCTCTACCCCTCTTCGCTCCCTCCCCTCACCCTGACCATTTCACCCCTGCTCGGGTCCTGACCCAACTGTACAGCACCTTGGGACGTCCTCCCGACGTGAAAGGCGCTCTATAAATGGAATCTTGTTGTTGTATTGAATTGCCACATTGGTATGATTATGACTGGGATTAAGGCACATTATTGGAGCGGGGAGTGGAGGGAACCTTATTCAACGCCCAGCTGCCCATGAATGACCTTCCGATTTTTTCTTTTTTGGTGGTGGGAGATGTTGTTTGGTCAGCCAAGTGTCAGACACTCTAGGAAATCCTTCACTATGCTTAAGAGTATCCAAGTCAAACTCAGTTCCATGCATCCTACCCACATGTGGAAATTCCCACGTATGGAATGTGCACACCTCCTGGAGAGACACATTCTGTTTAACTAATTCCCAGAGTATTAGGTGCAGGCTGCAGAAACTAAGGCTTGGGGACCCCAGAGTATGGGTTGGGATACGAATGCAGTTCAACTAATTAAGACCACATAGCTTCCTGCTTTTAGCTTAAATTACCTGTTGAAATGCAACATGGCTTTAATACCTTCCTACCTTATGGAAAAGATCACACGAGAGATAGATGTTCACAATAATTTTACCTCTTGCAAGTTATCGTGCTGAACTTAATGCTTTGCGTGTGTCCTCGACTTCAGAATAACCTGGATTTCTACATCTCGGGCTGGAGCGCTGCACTTTAATGTCCAGTGATTGAATTGTTTCCCCTGATTTGCCAAGAGCAAGAGAAGGGAACTAACATGAGCGAGAATCTGTCCAATGTACACAGACTTGATATTTCCTGGATTTCAAAAATCTGATCCTATTCAACAGTGCGCTGAGAGAATGGAATGCAAATGCATCCCGTTTTTGTAAACGCCTATACAGAGCTATTTCACATGAGTAAGTGATTCAGTTGGCCAAATACACAACTGGAAACCTCAAAGGCATTTTCTTGGAATGAGCAGAATGTGTATTGCGATCTGCAAGTTATTTTGCCAGCAGGAATGGTTAACCAATTCCGTCCTCCTTGTAATGGTTTTTTGTTCAGCTCAATGGCTGTTAACCTGCCAACCCACAGCACAGATGTTCCATCATCCAAATCAAATGGGTCATTATTGTTTGTTTTATTTTCAGAATTTCAGACTAATATTATAAGACATTTAGCTTTTCCAAATGCACGAATCTGAGGTTTTCTAAATCTAAAGCTGCTTTAATGCACATCTTAGGCTCAGGGAAGCTAGCACCAGCCTGCAGCCTCTCCTCGTGTGTTTGACCCCATTTCAAAGATCACAGGAGGGCAGCTTGCTGCATGATAGAGGCAAATGTAAGGGAAATTCAACTCACAGCAACTGTGTATCTCACCAGCAAAAACTGAACTATAGTGGTTATACCTTGATACCTAGAGATGTTCACACAATGATTACGTTCATTCATGTGGAGTCCTGTAGCTTAGTGGTTAGAGCAATCGCCTCACAAGCAAGAGGACCTGTGGCTGGAGTAGGTTTCCTGTTTACCTATCAGTAAATAGGAATCCAATCTGGTTGTTAGTCGATTGGTGGATCGCTTTTCTGGGGGTAATAATCCCTTCCAAAAAAAAATAATAATAATCTGGTCACTTCAATCCATGACAGTTTGTGGGACACTGCTGTGTGCAATTGGCTACTACGTTTCGCCCACAAAATATAGTCAATTCATTTTACAGTATATTGTGTGAAGCGATTTGAGACTCTCGAAGACGTGATAAGGGGCTATATCAAATGCAAGGATTATTATTATTATTATTTATAGGAGATATCTGTTCATCTGCTTTTGACAGCTGAGTCACAATGCAGAAATTTAGATTATATGTTGCCCATCTACTGTCACAAAAATGTTAGGAGGTTTATATTCAACTATTCCTGTCTCCCATTCATGATTAAGCTGTGTTATTGAAAGTTATTGGAGAGAAAATGAGTTTGGCTGCACAGAAGCTCAATTTTACTTCACTGCTCTCAGGATATCCATGCGATAGATCCACATTGGGTCAAATAGGTGATATTTCTATGGAAGACGTAAGTGGTGATTCCAACTGGTGACAGGGAATGCATTACACCAGTTACCGCCTCGTGTGACACGCTCTCAGTTACAGGCATCTGTGATAGAATCCAAGTTATAGGGTGTGATGACTACAAAATACACAGTTCACTACACTTTACAGTGTAACCATTGAAACACTTTTGAGATTTCCTACCAACGAAAGATGCTGAATCAAATGCAAGGGTTATTATTATTATTATTATTATTGTTGTTGTGCACTCCAGGCTACAGACAGGACTCCTGTTTACAAATATGAAACTTTAGATTGTTCACTTTGTCCACATGGTAAAATGATTGAAAAATAAGGCTTGCTGTTTCTCTGCTATCAAATCTAACTGTGCAATGTCTCCATTCCAGCTTTTGAGGGATTTCCCTGATGAACTGCGAGCAGACATTGCCATGCACCTGAACAAAGAAATCCTTCAGCTGCCCATATTTGAGTCTGCCAGCCGTGGGTGCCTTCGATCCCTTTCTCTTAGCATCAAGACTTCATTCTGCGCACCAGGGGAATACCTCATTCGCCAAGGTGACGCTCTGCAGGCCATCTATTTTGTCTGCTCAGGGTCCATGGAAGTACTGAAGGACAACACTGTCTTGGCTATTCTCGGTGAGTAGCTGTTAATGGTTTCAATGCTGGTTAGTGCGTGAGTCCCCCCTCACTTCCTGAGTGTGGGTACTTCCTGCGCCTCTTGCCACTGTTGCACTTTGTCGGATTTCAATGTATGCAGTTGAATGAGAGAAAGGCATGAAACTTGATGCAAACACAAGGGGGAGGGGAATGAAGGGATTAGCAGGAGTGGATGCTCATGTGGCATGTAATCACCATTGCAGACTAGTTGGGTGCATTGGCATTTTTCCATCCTGTAACATTCCATGCTATCCTGCACAGTAACGCAGGAACAGGAGGAAGCCGTTCAGCCCACTGAGCCTGTTCTGCCAGTTTCAGATCTCAGCAAAAAAACTTCAAATGACTCAAATACAAGCATGTTCCAAATGAGCATGAAATCTGTGGGTTTGGGTTTTGCCTTCCACTTTACGAATAAAAGCACAGCGTGCAGTTAGTAAACAGTCCAACCTTTGTTAGAGTTCTCGTTCTCTCATTCTCTCACAAACTCTCATTCCGTGAGTGCCAGCCGGGCCTGTGGAATAACTGGGAGCCTCAACATTAACTTCCAGCAAAACGCCGGAACAGGGAGAGCTTTCTATTATAATAAGCTTTTCTCATAAAAGTCCAAGATGAGTTTCAGTCAGTGGAGAGAACATTGCCTGGTTGACGGCGATACAAAACCAAACTGGAGAAGCAGGCTTCATTTGTCATGAGTTACAAGCTTAATAAGATTGAGGGATAATTAATGACACTGACACTGATCGGAAACTTGCCTTTGGGAAGGGACCTCAATGACAATGATACAAAGTCATTCTGGAATCTAAATCAAAGCTCTATTACTCTGTGTTACCAATATTTCATTGTGAGTTCTGCGTGCAGGAAACATTTCCCAGACTGTGGGTAAGTGGTCACCAGTCAGATATGTAATTCATCAAAGTAACAATCCTTTCTGCCGACAGAATCTTCCATAATTTTCACAATAACACGCAGCTCGGATTGAGCTATTTATTTGCTAATTGAGGTTATGTAAAAAGTCGAATTTTTGGTGTGTGAGCGCAGAATGCATTGGAGGCAAACGTGGAGACTGTTCAGATCAGCCTTTTAGAGAAATGCTGGGTTAGGATGGATTATTTTCTACATTTGACTGCCTCTGAGGAAACGCTTTATTATTTAAGTTAAAACCCGGTTGTCTGAAAGTTCCATGAGAAAAAAATAAATCCCAAAGAATATTGCATTACTTGCTATGATTCCCAGTAACTCTTTTACCCTAATCCTGTTCGAAGGAGAATTAAATATAAATAATCATTGCACTTGATACAGAGCTTTTCATGTCAGGGGGCCACATCAAAGTGTTTCACAGGATTTAGCGTAAAGTGTAATGACTGCATATTTTGTATACCACTGTAGTACAAATTTTCATTTTCCATACATATTATTTTCCTTCCATTCAACTAATAGTCCCTTCCTGGATTTTTTGTCCCCGTGTGAAGTACTTTACATTTTTCCACATTGAATTTCATCTGCCACCGGTCTGCCCAATTCCCAAGTATGTTCGAATCCTCCTCTAACCTATCTTGTTCAGCTTTGTGCACAGCAATTTCCCACAAACAGTCATCTTCATAATTGTGTTGTTGTTGTTGTTCATAAGCTTGGTGTCATCTGCAAACTTAGTTACTGTGCTTGCGACTCCTATTACCAGATCATTTATAAAAATATTAAACAAAAGAGGTCCCAAAGCAAACCCTTGTGCAACTCCACAAGTAACATTTTCCCAGTCTGATGACATTCCCAGTACCACCATCCATTTGGTTATTCCGATCAACCAGTTACGTATCCAAGGAACATCCAAGGTCAAATATCAGGAACATTTGTCCAGCATCCCAGGGGAAATGCCAATCCTGCTTGCTCACTCAGCTCTTTCATTTTGTTTTCAAACCAAACAGTTCAAATGAATAGAGAATAGATCACTTGGCATCCAAGGTGCTGAGACTGCACCACACGTTAAAGACACCCAGCAGTTTCTGAAGCTAAATAGTAAAAAAAGAAGAGTTCTGAAAGCATTTTTTTCGGCGTGGAAGATAGATCAAAGCAAACATAGGCATTGGTAACCCAAGTGATGATCTATCAGTAAAGATAGAAGGGAATAATAAACAGCAAAGCCTCTTATACAAGGTCCCTTGTATAAGATCCCTTGACGAACAATGCCGTCAAGGGATTTGGGTAACGTCCTAAACTCTGAGAGCAACTTTCGATTGAGGTAGAACTGTTATCGGAATCCTTGAGATTACAGGTTTGCAATCACTTCTGGGCATCTGTTACTTCAAAGCTATGGGTTCCCGATGCTGTTTTTTCCAGGCAATCAATTGTTCACTATTGCTTCATATTCTCTTGGGTGTTCAGCAGACTCATCCCTCAGTGCCTTCAATGTATCCATTACCAGGCTGGTGTGGTCTGCCGTTAATGCCCATGTCCACAATAATAGCCAAGGAGGTTTTGTGCTGTGTGAGAGTGCTTACTGTAAGGTGGGGCAAGATCCTCCAAATGTATATCACCACTGGTTGTTAATGTCAAATTGCTCTTCTGGCCAGACAGGTGTATGACACAAAGCAGAAATACATCACAACACTTAAGAGTATCTAAACCAGAATGAGGGTTCTTCATATGCAAGCCACCTATGCGTGCCATGCTCTCTGCCTGGAGGGATGCACCCAAGTTACGGAGTGTATTGGACCCATGTTGCCAGGAGCCAAAAGCTTGGGGATTCCTAGATGGTCTGGCAAGCTTTCCAGACAGTCACATTCCATGGGGGATATCAGAGGAGGTCTCATCATCTCTGGCTGAGCTGGATTTGAAGTGCAGGTGTCAGCATAGTTGCACAAGCACTTTTAAAGTGCCTGACGCAGGGGAAAGTAAATGATCAACATCATCTCATCCTGCAGTCAGGCATTTAGCAGAAACTCTCACCGCAAAAATTATATTCAATATGGAAGCGTAATTACATTTCTGTTCCATAAAGTCTTTGAGGTCTTTGAAAAGTAAGCGCTTGGGAATCATTCACTGGAAATCAATTCCTGGGGCTCAGTTCTCTTTCAAAGGAAAATGACATTATGGCAAATCGCCGGGTATAAAAAGAAAATGAATAAGAAGTCCCAGGTTCCATCTGAACCCAACAGCTTATCCATAATTCAAAGTGTTGAATTTCGTTTCAACGAGTTGGAAATGCAAACATCGGGACCCTTTCACTTTCAACAAAGTTAAAACAGTTTATAAAGAAATAGGATCATATTTGACATTGCTTTGAATGGAAGAAGCGATTTTCGCACAGAGTGATGAATATGGCGAGAAGACTCCTAGGGAAAGCTTTTGATGAGTCAATTAAATCTTTGAGAAGGAGGTAAATAAATCCCCAAGCGGAGAATCGAGCTGGAGGTTATCCTTGTTGCATTTGATATAGTGCCTTTCATGCCTCAAAGTCCTACACATTATTCTTTAATGTGTAGTGACTGTATTTTGTAGGTGAACATGGCAGTCAGTTTGTGCAGCAATGTTCCACAAACAGCCATGAAGTGTGTAACCAGTTTTAATTGGGGGATTGTTTGTCAGGACCCCAGGATAAATTCCTTTCTCCGAAGCTGAGCTGGACTCATAGGGAAAGATTTTAGTCTCATTTCTAGTGTGTCGTTTCCCCCTCCAGGAGCTTTTCATTTTATTTAATTCAGCGATGTGAATTTGGCAGGTTCAGCCGCCAAATAAATATAAAGTATGAAGGTATATAAATCTTAATTACGCTGCTCATTATAAATATTGAGGCAAATCTCTGCCCTGTGTCAGGGGGAACTGCAACCATTTTTAAGACATTGAAATGTTTGGAGCCTTTCCCTATGCATCCATATCCTGAGGTAAAAAAAATACATTTTATATAATGTGCCAATTGTGTGCAACGTGTTTCATTTGTTAGTTTATGTAAAATAATTACATTTTTTTTATTCTAATTTTAGCCTGTAGGTGGTCTAATTCTAAATGAATTAAGAAACAGCAGGGTATATCAATAATATAACAGCTACTGATGCCTTAACTGTGCCCTCCTTTAACAACAATAATAATCCTTGCATTTGATATAGCACCTTATCACTCCACCGAGATGTCTCAAAGCGCTTCAACAACAACAACAACTTGGATTTATATAGCGCCCTCCACGCCGGACGGCGTCTCAGAGCGCTTTACAGTAACGGATCTTCACAGAGCATACTGTAAAAAAAAGGATTCAAACACTGACTGGGAAGCAGCCCAATACTCAAGGACCAATTACATGTTTGTGTTCTGTCTCTCAGTCTTCAATCATTCTTGGTGAATGTGTGTGAAAGAGAGAGAGAGTGATTGAGCCAAGTTAACATTGTTGCACATTTCTCTGTTTATCAGTTGGGTGAATTAAGTTGTCAAAATGCATTTTAAGTTATGAATTGCTCTATTTTTCCACGTCTGTAGGGTTTGACAGAGAAAAAACGAGGCAGTCAGATGCAATATAAAACAATAAATACCAGCTAACACTCAGTAAAAATCTGTAGGCCAGTAACTGAGGGATTCATTTCATTCCTTCTGAGCAAAATCTGACTGATTTGTCAGTCATTCCAGAGAGTGCATACAATTAGTTCAACTGCTTATCTTTCCCCAGATCCTAATTTTTTTTGGCCTCTTGTTTTGCTTTCATTTTTTGAATTAGTTGTTTATCTTGGTGTTAATAATAATAATAATAATAATCCTTGCATTTGATATAGCCCTTTTCACGTTAGGAGGACGTCCCTCAATTCATTGAGATGCAACACGATGGGTAGGAGAACTAGCCCAAAAGTGGGACCATTCAATAACTACTTGTATTTGCATAGCAATCGTCTGGCGGGCTAGATTCTCGTAGCACTGAACAATGGCATTGTAGGTTTGAAGTGGAGTCCTGTAGCTCAGTGGTTAGAGCACCCGCCTCACAAGCGAGAGGGCCTGGGTAT